TCACTGGGGCCTGAGAGGCCAGGTCAGGGTGAGGGAGGCGGGAACCCATGCCTTCCGCCGGGCTCAGGGCCGCCTCCTGGCCCAGCACGCCGCCCCGCCCGTGTCGGGACCGCCTGCTCTCTGCTCTCCCGTCTGTGAGGAGCGCGGCGCAGGCAGGACGCTCGGGGGCCTGGTTTTCGGCGGTGGTGCAGAGGGTGAGTGCAGGCGGAGCTCGGGCCTGGGGTCCCGTCCACGAAGCACCCTTCCAGCTGGGAGGGAGGGGTGCATGTGCCCAGAGAGCCCAGCAGGTGGCACCGAGTGTTCTTCCCTGAAGAATGTCAATCATTTCGTTTTCATTGGAAAGCCAATTCTATTGTGCTTCTATTTTTATATAAATATACCAGAGGCCTGGTGCACACAATTCGTGCGCGTGGGGGGTCCCCTCAGCCCAGCCTGCACCCTCTCCAATCTGGGACCTCTGGGGTATGTCTGACTGCCAGTTTGGGCCTAAACCAGCAGTCAGACATCCCTCTCACAATACAGGGCCACTGGCTCATAACTGCTCACCTTCCTGCCTGCCCGATTGCCCTTAACTGCTCCCCCTGCTGTCCTGGTCACCCCCAATCTCCCCCCCCACCCACCCACCGTGGGCCTAGTCGCCCCACATAGCCTGCTGCTCAGTCCTTTGGTTGCCCCTCACTAACCTCCCTGCCAACTGGTTGCACCCACACAGCCTGTTCATTTGTCCATTCAGTTTCAATGGTCATTTAGGCTTTTATATACATAGATTTTTACTGATTTCAGAGAGGAGAGAGAGAGAAACATCAATGATGAGAGAGGATCACTGATCGGCTGCCTCCTGCACGCCCCACACTGGGGTTCGAGCTCACAACCCAGACATGTGCCCTGACCTGTGCATCCAACCATGACCTCCTGGTTCCTAGGTCCATGCCCAACCCCTGAACCACGCCGGTCAGATAGCCCTGCAGTCTTTGCTTCTCAGGAGGGAGCTCCTGTGGCCACAGGCCCTTAAGGCCTGTTGAGAAGGGATGGAGGGAGATGGCACTGGTTAGGAGCCTGGTGGCCAGGCTTTCTCCCCAGTGGCAGTGCCAGGCAGCCCCTGCCAGGCCAGGGAGTGACAGCTCATGCTCTGAGCGTGTGCACGTGTCCGCTGGCTGCTGTGACGAGCCGCCAGGCGCAGCGGCTTCACACGACGCCGGCTCCCTCGCAGTTCTGACCGTGGAAGTCGGACCTGGGTCTCCCGGGCTAAAATCCACGTGGCACCGGGCTGGCTCCTTCCGGAAGCTCAGCGGGTCTTGTCCGGCTTCCGTGGCCGTGGCCCGCCTCCCTCTGACAGTCCCCGCTGGCATTGGCAGTAATGACACACGCAGGGTCTGGGATTAGGATGCTGACGCCTTGGGGGTGGGACATTGTTCAGCCCCTGCCCCATCCATGCTGGGGGTAACAAGGCGACGGAACAGCCCAAGGACCTGGGGGTGGGACATTGTTCAGCCCCTGCCCCATCCATGCTGGGGGTAACAAGGCGACGGAACAGCCCAAGGACCTGCTGCTGTCGCCCCCCTTCCCCCCGCCCCCCCCGTGGCCCAGGCCCCACAGGCAGGCCGGCTCAGACAGGGGCGGTGGCCCTGCAGCCTCGGCCTCGCAGCCCTGGTCTCTCCGCCACGGCCCGTCCCATCGGACAGAGGGACACTGTCCTCCCGGGGGGAATGGCCCTGAGGCCCCCAGCTTTGAGGCGCTCCCCTGAGGCCGCCTCCCCTCCTCAGGAGGAAGCAGACGTGTGCTCTGGGACCCTGGGCTCTCAGAGGCGAGGGGTGCAGGCCCACGTCCAGGGAGCGAGCAGAGGAAGAGCGAGGGGAACGGACAGGACCTGTGCTGACCCTGAGCTTCGAGAGCGAGCGAGGCGGCCGAGGGTCGTGCTGTGGGCTGAACTGGGGCCCGAGTCTTAAAGCAAGAACATTCTCCTGTCCTTCCACACGACTTTGTAGTGCGTGTGTGTGTGTATGTGTGTGTGAGTGTGTGTGTGCGAGTGTGTGTGTGTGAGTGTGTGTGCATGTGCGTGCGTGTGCGTGTGTGAGTGTGCGTGTGTGTGTGAGTGTGTGTGACTGTGTGTGCATGTGTGTGTGTGTGAGTGTGTGTGTGACTGTGTGTGTGCGCGTGTGTGAGTGTGTGTGTGTGTGAGTGTGTGTGTGTGTGTGTGTGCGCGCGTGTGTGAGTGTGTGTGCATGTGAGTGTGTGTGTGCGTGTGTGAGTGTGTGTGTGACTGTGTGTGTGTGCATGTGTGAGTGTGTGTGTGACTGTGTGTGTGCATGTGTGAGTGTGTGTGTGTGTGTGCGTGTGAGTGTGTGTGTGTGACTGTTTGTGTGTGGCTGTGTGTGTGTGTGGCTGTGTGTGTGACTGTGTGTGTGTGCGTGTGTGCGTGTGTGTGCGTGTGAGAGAGACAGAGAGAGAGGCTGAGAGAGAGAGAGAGAGAGACTAGTGTTCTAACCAGCACGGATAACCACGGAGTGAAATGGGAATTCACATGAATGTTTAACAAGAGACATGACCTGACAGCACCCTGTGCCAGGCCAGCTCCCGGCGGCGCTCGCTCCCCCCACCCTGTTCTCGCCGCCAAGTCAGCGCTCGGCCAGCGCTGGGGGATGGGGGCAGCAGGGAGGCGGGGGCAGGTCCGGGACTGCCAGGCCCGGGTGTCGGGTGTGCACGGCAACGCATGGATACCAGGCAGGCACCGGGGGCATGTGCTCTGGGCACCGGGGGGACACGCCGGGCACCAGGCAGACACTGTACCATAGGTGCCGGGGGGACACGCTGGGCACCAGGCGGACACTGTGCCCAGGCACCAGGGGGACACGCCGGGCACCAGGGGGACACTGTGCCAAGGCACCGGGGGGACACGCCGGGCACCAGGCGGACACTGTGCCCAGGCACCGGGGGGACACGCTGGGCACCAGGCGGACACTGTGCCCAGGCACCGGGGGGACAAGCCGGGCACCAGGGGGACACTGTGCCAAGGCACCGGGGGGACACGCCGGGCACCAGGCGGACACTGTGCCCAGGTGCCGGGGACACATGCTCTGGGCACCGGGAGAACACGCTGGGCACCAGGCAGACACTGCCATAAGTGCCGGGGGCACATGCTCTGGGCACCGGGGGGACACGCCGGGCACCAAGCGGACACTGTGCCCAGGTGCCGGGGACATGTGCTCTGGGCACCAGGGGGACACCGCCGGGCACCAGGCGGACACTGTGCCATAGGTGCCGGGGACATGTGCTCTGGGCACCGGGGGGACACGCCGGGCACCAGGCGGACACTGTGCCCAGGTGCCGGGGGCATGTGCTCTGGGCACGGGGGGGACACGCTGGGCACCAGGCGAACACTATGCCCAGGTGCCGGGGGCACATGCTCTGGGCACCGGGGGGACACGCTGGGCACCAGGCGGACACTGTGCCCAGGTGCCGGGGGCACATGCTCTGGGCACCGAGGAGACACCGCCGGGCACCAGGCGGACACTGTGCCCAGGTGCCGGGGGCACATGCTCTGGGCACCAGGGGGACGCTGCCGGGCACCAGGCGGACACTGTGCCCAGGTGCCGGGGGCATGTGCTCTGGGCACGGGGGTGGGGGCACCATGCCGCGGGCACCAGGGCCCAGAGCTCTGATTACCTGCTGGCGAGACAGAAATAACGGGCTTCACTCTGTGAGACAGGTGGCAGTGGACTCTTAGGAAGCTGTAACGTGCTGCTGGCCTGTAATTGCTGCTTAAACGGAATCCTAATTGTATCTGCCTCTTCCCACCAAGCCCCTCCATTACCCACAGCAGGGAGGGGCCGCAGGTGACCCCCAAACCAGGGCCCCTTCTCCAGCCCTGACCCGCCTGCGGAAGCCTTCCCGCCCGCCGCCACGGGCCCCTTCCCCTTCCCACAGGAACCAGCCGAGGGCTCCGTGTCAGGCCCCTCCCGACCCCAAAGGTCCCGGAAGGTTGACACTGCGTGTCCAGCTCGCCCACGCTCCCCGGGGCCCGCCGGGATCCTGGCACGTTAGGTGCTTCCTCACCCTGAGGCCATAGGACGGGGGGTCCTCCCTCCCGGGAGCGAGCGCACAGCCTGGCGCCCGGAGGCCTGGCGCCTGCGGAGAGGCGGTGCCGGTGTGGAGGCGACCAGGGCCCCGTGCCGCCCTCCGCAGGTGCTGTCAGCCCTGTGAGCCGCGGGCCGCCCACCCCGGAAGCCAGGACCCCCGTGCCCCAGGGCTGCTCCGCTTACACTGCCGGGGCCCCGTGGCCAGGCTGGCATCGGGGATCTTCCCGGGGGTCTCCCCAGGAACCTGGGGGAGGGGCGGCCCTGCACGGACCGGCCAGCCGGCGGCCGAGGGGGACCCCCTCAGCCACACAGACGCGGAGCTCGGCTGAGAAATCAGAGCCGCATGGAGACGCGGTCCCAGAGGAGCCTGAGCCGAGCGGCTGGTGTCCTGCCTAAGGACGCCACCCACCGAGGCCTCCTGCCCGGCAGTGCCCGCCCTCCGTGCTGCTTCGATCGAGGCTGCCTCCGGCCGAGAAGACCGAGGCACCGGCTGGCACTCAGAGCCCTTCCCAAGCCCTGCCCGCCAGTCCCTTACAGCCCTGTGAGGCGGACGACGGCGGACCTGGGCGGGCGGTGCCGGAGCGGCGGACAGCAAGGTGGGCGGCAAGAGCAGCAGGCGGCCAGGGCCCCGGCAGGCCCGGCTGTGGGTGACCAGGGCCTGGCAGGACCCAGGACTGGCTGTGCGGGTGGCCAGGTTCCCGGCAGGACCGGCTGTGGGTGACCAGGGCCCGGCAGGACCGGCTATGGGTGACCAGGGCCTGGCAGGACCCAGGACTGGCTGTGCGGGTGGCCAGGTTCCCAGCAGGACCGGCTGTGGGTGACCAGGGCCCAGCAGGACCGGCTGTGGGTGACCAGGGCCCGGCAGGACCGGCTGTGGGTGACCAGGACCCGGCAGGACAGCCGTGTGGTGCCGCGGGCACCTACCTTCCTCTTGTTGGCAGGGCAGATGAAGAAGCTGTCGATGACGGTGGTGAAGCCGGGCTGGATGGCCAGCTTGGTGTAGGTCGTCCCGAAGTCAGAGGACCTGGGGAAAAGGACACGCCGTCAGGACTGGCCCTGGAGCCAGCAGCACTGAGTCCACGGCATACGCCACGTGGGCCACGGGCCGCCCCGTACCCCCACCCCCCCCTGTACCCCCACCCCGCCCCATAACCCCCCATCCCACCCCGTACCCCCACTCCGCCCCGTAACTCCCACCCCGCCCCATACCCCCACCCCGCCCCGTACCCCCCACCCCCCCCCGCCCCGTAACCCCCACCCCGTACCCCCACCCAGCCCCGTACCCCCACCCCCCCCCGTACCCCCACCCCGCCCCATACCCCCACCCCGCCCCATACCCCCACCCCGCCCTGTACCCCCACCCCGCCCCGTACCCCCCACCCCGCCCCGTTACCCCCACCCGCCCTGTACCCCCCACCCTGCTCCATAACCCACCATCCTCCACCCCGTACCCCCACCACGCCCCGTTTCTCCCCACCCCACCTGTACCCCCCCACCCTGCTCCATAACCCCTATCCCACCCCGTACCCCCACCCTGCCCGTTACCCCACCCGCCCCATACCCCCACCCGCCTTGTACCCCCCACACCGCCCCGTACCCCCACCCGCCCCATAACTCCCACCCCGCCCCGTACCCCCACCCCGCCCTGTACCCCCACCCCGCCCCGTTTCCCACACCCCGCCCCGTACCCCCCACCCTGCCCCATACCCCCACCCGCCCTGTACCCCCACCCTGCTCCATAACCCCCATCCCACCCCGTACCCCCACCACGCCCCGTTCTCCCCACCCCACCCTGTACCCCCCACCCTGCTCCATAACCCCCATCCCACCCCGTACCCCCACCCCGCCCCATAACTCCCATCCCACCCCGTACCCCCACCCCGCCCCGTACCCCCACCCCGCCCTGTACCCCCACCCTGCTCCATAACCCCCCATCCCACCCCGTACCCCCACCCTGCCCCGTTCTCCCCACCCCGCCCTGTACCCCACCCTGCTCCATAACTCCCACCCCACCCCGTACCCCCACCCCGCCCCGTAACCCCCCACCCGCCCCCATACCCCCACCCCGCCCCTAACCCCCACCTGCCCCGTACCCCCACCCCGCCCATTACCCCCACCCCGCCCCCCCGTACCCCCCCCCCGCCCCGTAACCCCCACCCCGCCCCATACCCCCACCCCGCCCCGTACCCCCCACCCCGCCCAGTACCCCCACCCCGCCCCGTACCCCCACCCTGCCCTGTACCCCGCACCCCGGCGGCAGGAGGCGGGCTCCCGGGGGCGCGGGAAGTCACTCTGGCCGGAGCGGAGACCGGGCACCCGTGTTCCCTCGGAGGAGCAGGGCGGGAGCAGGCCCGGGCCCCTTGGCAGGAAGGTGTGGTCCCACCATCACCCAGTGCCTCCCTGCCTGGTGCTGTCCTCCGGGTCATTGCTGCCCACACCGTCTCCTTCCCCTCACAGGTTCCCCGTTCCTCCCAGGCCCCGTCCCGCCATCAGCTCAGGTCGGAGAGCGGGTCTGCGGTGACGGCGTCTGCATGAGGTGTATTCCAAGCAATGAGCTCTGCCTCTCCCGTGTGTCGGGGTTTGAGGGGCGCCTGGGGGAGCCTGGGGTAAGCACCCCGCTCTGTGGTGATTCTGCCGCCGACCCAGGGGGACGGGGGACGGGCCAGACGCCCCATGAGGGAGTCTTGTCTCTCCCCAGGAGCAGGGTGAGAGGAGGGAGCCGGGTCCAGCCTGCGGCTCCTGCAGGGCCTGCCTTTGTGGGTGCGGAGACCGAGGGAGCCGGGCGGAAGGGCTGGGCCCCCAGAAAAAGCGCCCTGGGGTGCTCCCTGGTGTCTGATGGGGCGGAGGGCCCAGGCTGGGGTTATGCCGGGCGGAGGCGAGGCCTGGGACCCTGAGCGGTGGGTGTGGAGACATCGGGAGGCAGTGGGCTCGCTTCTCCTCCTGTCTGGAAGCGCACACGGCACGTCCCGGGAGCAGGTCAGCACCCTGCGTGCCCTGGAGCGAGGCAGACCCTCCGCCCGGCCAGGCCGCTCTGCAGACAGGAAGCGCCTCAGGAAGAAGAGGAGTGACAATGGAAGCTGACTCCTGAGGCCACGCCGGGCTCTGACTCCTGAGGCCATGCCAGGCTCTGACTGACTCCTGAGGCCACGCCGGCTCTGACTGACTCCTGAGGCCACGCCGGGCTCTGACTGACTCCTGAGGCCACGCCGGGCTCTGACTGACTCCTGAGGCCACGCCGGGCTCTGACTGACTCCTGAGGCCACGCCGGGCTCTGACTGACTCCTGAGGCCTCACCGGGCTCTGACTGACTCCTGAGGCCACGCCAGGCTCCGAGGGGCTTCCCGGTCCAGCCACCACCTCCAGGTGGGCAGACGGCGGGCAGAGGGAGTGGCTAGAATTCCAGCGGAGGGGGGGGGGCGGAAGGGAAGGGGGCAAGAAGAAACCTTGGCAGGTGGGGTAAGCGATGAAGCCAGAGAGGCCAGGCTCCCCTCAGAGCCCTCAGCGGGCCGGGCCAGGTTAGCCCTGGATGGAGCCTCAGGAAAATTCCCGGCGTTTAATAACCACCAACTGGAACGTTCCCGTCCCACAGGCCAACCGCCTCGTCTGGGCATCGTTTCAAACAATGGAGCCGTGACATCAGAGAGCGGCTGCCCGAGAAGAGGGAGACGGAACGCCGCCCTGGAAATTCCTCCTCCAGCTTACTGCCGTTACAGCCCGGCCCCCCTCCCGCCCCCCTCGGCACAACCGCCGTTTTCACTGTCTCCGATACTCCGGTGGGTCCCCTCCCGCAGACCTCCCAGGCCGAGGGCCAGGCCCGGCGCCTCCGAGCGAGCGAAGCTTCTGTCTGGCTTTTAAACGCGGGCTCTTGGAGCCGAGAAACTCTGACCGCTCCAGGTTTTAAAAACGAGAGTTTGCAGGGCACCGAGTTTGTCTGCAATTCCCGGCACGGAGCCCCGGGAGCCGCAGTGGCTTTCCCAGGGTGTGATGACTCCCTCGGCTTCTGCATCCAACAGCTCCAACGGAGGAGGGAAATGTGAGGAGGGCCAAAACCGGTTTGGCTCAGTGGATAGAGCGTCGGCCTGCGGACTGAAGGGTCCCAGGTTCGATTCCGGTCAAGGGCCTGTACCTTGGTTGCGGGCACATCCCCAGCAGGGGGTGTGCAAGAGGCAGCTGATCGATGATTCTCTCTCATCGATGTTTCTAACTCTCTATCCCTCTCCCCTCCTCTCTGTGAAAAACCAATAAAATTTTTTTAAATGTAAGGAGGCCTTCGCGCCAGGAGAGCCGGGCGGGGGGAGGTGGGGGGTGGAGGGAGGGAACCTTATTTTTAATGTCGGGAGGAATCTGACAAGGCAAAGCTCAAAACCGAAGGAGAAACGAAGCCACAATGAGAAAGACCAGAGAAATGCTCTAAGTCGTGAAATCGGGGACCTCTGGTTGACGCGATTCGATGACAAAAAGTTCATGGACAAAACAAAGGTTGGTTCAGTGATAAAACTGAATAGTGAGGCCAGTGACCCACAGAGCCCCACTCCAAACCGTCCCCAAAGGCAGTTCTCCCCCCGAGACGGCCACAGGCACTGCTGACGCCCGCGTGCTCTCAGCACCCGGCCCTGTGAGAGCCAGAGGGCCCTCGGACCCCTGGCCTCCACCCACGCATAGGCCAGAGGCCCAGAGAGGGGCAGCCACGCGTCTGAGGCCCACAGCAGCCAGAGACAGAGGGGTGACTCTGCCTGAGGTCCCTGACTCACGGCCAGGGTGTCTGCCCCGGCTGCCCCACCGGCCTCAGGCAGACGGCGGCAGGACAGATGCTGCGGCCACCCGCCTCGGAGCTGCGCTCGAGAAGACGGGACCGAGCTGAAGCCTCACCCCTGCAGCCCCCGAGGCTTCTAAACGCGCCCGGTCTGCGGAGAGTGCAAACCACCCAACCCAAAGGCTCCCGTCTGCCCTCGTGTCTGCGGGCAGGCCCTGGGCGCTGGCAGGACAGACAGGCATCCTCCCTCCCCACAGGGAGACCCTGCTCCACCCACCGAAAAGCGCCCCTCCCCACCGCAGCCAGGGGCGCAGCTCAGCCTGGCCTGGGCTTGCTGGCCGTGCAGCTGGCAGGCCCAGCCTCGGACGCCAGCGGCAGCTTGCGGCCGGTGCTCTGGCCCCTGGCCCGCGACACGGAAGCTACACGACCAGCCCACCTCCGGGCGTCCTGCTCCGGCCTGAACAGGGTGAGAGCTTGCTAAAGTCAAGGAATGCTGTCCAGACCGCCTCCACAGCGAAACCAATGGCAGGGACCACTGCAGGAGCTGCGGCCCTCCCTCTCCTGGTCCCTCTGCACGACCTCCCCGCCCCCCGGCACCGTAACCACGTCACACGCTCCGCTGTCCGGGCGGGAAGCCGAAGGCGGCAGACGTGGGCAGGACACACTTCTCGGGCTCGAGGATCCCACCTGACAGCTAAACAATAGCAGACGCCTCTGAGAGCTCGCACATTGTGAGTTGAGCCACTTGAGACGGCGCGGCAGGGAGCAGCCTGGGCCTGGGAGCCGGGGCCGGCGGCACGTCACATCCTGGGCGCACAGCCGGTGGGCGATGCAGCGGTTCCCGCTCTGCGCGGCGCCCGGTGAGAAGATGAATGTGCCGGGGGTTATTACAACGATGGGAGGCGCTGACACCGGCCGGAGGAGCCAGCGCCCAGCAGGTCCTGAGTGCGTCTCCGTGTCGGCCGCTCTGCCGCCAGCGAGGCCACGTGGACGAGAAGCGCTGAGCCGAGGGCCCGGGCACTGGGACGTCACGTCCGGCTCTCCCGGTCACTGCCACGTCTGTGTTTCTAGGAGGTGTCACCGTTTGTCCCCAGAAGCTCTGTGACTGTTCCTACGCTTCCGTCCAATAGGCCAGGAGCTCAGGGTGGCAGGCACACGTGCGGGCCTCCCGTGGGAGTGTGGCCTGTCCCTCTCCAGGGTCAGGACCTCCCGTTCGGGGCTCCTGAGGGGACGGCGAAGACGGCTGCTGTTCCGTGTGTTCTTTTTTATTT